CCATACATAATTGATTCTGTATATAGGACAAAACTAGTGTTTGGTTAGTGATTCGAGAAAATTTTGGTGGGAAATGGCTTATCCAAATGCTAATCATTATCCAAACCAACATGCTTCACCTTGTTAACATTACTTCTTAAATTTTTCTGATTCGTATGTTTGAATGGATATAATAAACCTATTACAGCAAAGCCGTAACCTGCTTGGCTTCTAGTGTTGATGGATTTCTTTTGGTTTCTGGATCGGAGGATGGCATGATTAGAGTGTGGGATACCAGAGCACGAAATCTTATTCGCATCTTTAGACATGCAAAAGGTATTCCCGAATCATATGCTTGTTCAGTTAATAATCTTCTGCGCAGTCTGCCTTGAGAGGCCATTTATCTATAATAAGTTAATATTAAGTACCATATTGCTTAAGGTCTACTTATCTTTTATTTTGTTGATGTCAATGTAATTCCCAAAATCAGTTGGTCGCACAGTGAAAATGTCTGATTATGGCTGATGGTTGTGGCACTGTATCTTCTCATTCTCATTACAATGTGTGAAGTGTTTGGTCAATGCAACTTGCGTATCCTTTAGCTCCAGCATGATATCTGCAAAATGGTTTCTAGTACAGATTATATCATGTTACTTAGATCTCTATCAAAAATTTAGTTGCTCCAGCATGAACGTGATATATAGCCATGTATTGGAAAAGTGCACTCATCTAGAGTTTAGTAGAGTGTATTGCTATGTAAGTTGGGTGATTGAGTTAGAACCTGAATGGCCATCAGGGACCCGAGTTCTATCATTTTATTAGCTTATCTCATACCTACAATTGTTGGATTTTTCTTGGCCTTTGTCATTTCCCAGGTCCAGTTAGTAATGTTCTTGTAACCAGACAGCCCCAGTACTTGAATACACGAAAATCAGCCTGTTCCCAAGCGTCAACATTAAGGCATAATCTGCCATTACCACCACTAGAGAAGTTTGTCAACTCACCAGATGAAAACACATATGTTAAATTATTTATTGGTCCCCAGACCATGTCGAACCAAATCGTAGACTCTTCATACATCGGCATTCAGACAATGGAGGCTCAGATAAAAGAACTACAGGTGATAATTTTTTGTAAAGTATAGTAAGTTTGTGTGTACAATTCATTACCTTTACATTTTTTCTATGGCGTTAATATCATTGAACTTAGAGTTTATCTCCAGTGCATATGATTTAGTTCTGAACAGCCAATGATCTCAAAATCTTCACTCTTAGTTCTGAACAGATTTGAGTTTTAATATCCATTGTTTTTATTTTTCTTCACGCTGATTATTCTTATTGTGACTTTTATGCTAGGTGAGGTATATTAGCCTATTAGGTGGGTTTATGCATGCACAGTTTCCGACATTGATTTTTGTGCTATTCTGGTTTTTTCTGGATCTTTTCAGTTAATTGAATAAAGGAACACACTGTTTAAAAGTTTAAATTGTTTCAAAGGATATGGATTTAATCATGTCATAGTTTTAAAGGGCGACGCCATTGTTGGGTTCGGCGAAGAACATCAGTTATTATTCTCTAATCAAATTCTAAGAAATTAATCCGAAATTAATCCTAGATAAAGATCTTACTTGGCATTCCCTGTATCTACTCAGCTTGATAGCATGGCTTAAAGTGAATAAGTGATCTTTAATTTTGTCATGGTGCATGCTCTTGCCAGCCTTTTTATAAGTCACTAAAAATTTCTGACTTTCTTGTTTTAAATTATCCCCAGAAACAAGGTTCGATGGAAGCTGCTGAAATGGACGTACAAAAATTGAAGAGTGAACAACAAAGGTCGCTACAAGCAATCCAGCAATGGAAGAACATGTACAAGAATCTGCATCAATTCTGTGTCTCTGAGCTTTTGGATGGCTGTAATACTGAAAGCGCCAACGGGAAAAATTGATGAGGTAATGTTATGAGACTTTTCCTACCGAAAAACGTCCTGCTTGCATGCCCGACCTTAAATTCTCGTTAGTGCAGTAGTGCTATGTATTGGTTGTACAAAAGTATACACCTCTCAACCCAGCGAAAATTGCTAATCTTGAGTTGAAGTAATAAAATGGCCCTATCAATAAGCTACATTCTGTGTTTGTTGTTTTTAGTTTTTAGTTTTAGTGTTCAGTGTTTGGTTGGTTCTAGGCTGTCTCGGGCTTGTTGCCTATGGGGTTTGTCCTCCCGACTACATTCAACCGAGTAGTTGACTTATTCGGCTGTTTAGCTGCTTTCTAGTATGTAAATATGTGTTTTTCATCTATGAAATTTCTATCGTAAAAAAAAATAAAATAAATAAATAAGCTACATTTTGTGAGTCCTCAAATCGTAATGAATCTTCATTGCTTTTCTTCGCTACCTTTTCACATGATATACATTAGTTTTCTACTAAATGTTTATTAGTCAACTGAAGATTCTTTGCTGTATATTTCATTTGTGTGCTAGTGAAATTTTAATGAAGTATCTGCCCTCTGCACTTCAGATTATCCT